TATTCTTAAACGAAATATCATTTTTTAAAATGGTGAAAATAAAACTTTTATTTTGTTCAAGGAAACCATGTCATTTGATGAAACAACACTATTGTTTTAAATAATATTTTTTAAAAGTTTCTCTCAAAATTTAGTAATTCGATTTGTTTAATTTGGATTTTCTTGAATTTTTTAATTTTCTTTTGTTGGATTAATCATTATAACATTTTGTTAAAAATGTAAAAGTAATTATCACTGGTTCACTACATTACATCAATATTCATCGCATATCGAATGTTGCATTGTTTCAATATCTATCAACAAATTATCCAATAAACAACAAGTAAAAATTATATAACTATTATTTGGTGTTTGCTAGGTATGTTATAATATACTGTGAACAATATAAGGATACATTATATAAGCATGAATTGTAAGAACATCGTTGGAGTCATCAGAGTCACCGCGTGCGCGCTCGATCGTCAGGTTTAAGCAACAGTTTAATGCGGTCAGGACATGGGTGGGGTGACCAGTGGTATACTGCTTGGGATCGAAATTATCGCAGAAAGATTCATGAAAGTTTTGGAATGTGTTGACAACCTTCGATATCTAGTAGTTTATGAGACATGAGAAAATTAGGAATATAAGCATATTTTTGTAAACATTATGATTTTCTCATTTTTCACCTTCGCATAATAATTCTGATATTTGATTACTATCAATATTTAACAGTGATTTTATTATCAGTATTCACCAGAAATTAAGTACTGGCCAAAAAATTACTGAATTACTGGTAATATTTAATCACTAATAATTTTTCAGTATTTCTTAGTATGATATTTCTATAAGGAAATTATACTCCAACGATATTAGAAATTGGCGCAAAAACCTGAGTGATTGAGTTAATAATCATTCCTTTCCTATTATTTATCTTCTTATAGCTATATAATTCGTTATTTACCTTTATTTGTCTTTTTCGTAGCGATTTTTAATATATTTAAGAATATTAGAATAAGATTGCAGATAAAGAATAATTAATAAGAATATTAATCCAAAATTGTTTTATATTTCTTAGGTTTCTTGAGATTTTTTAAAGCAGATTATTTTTTTTAAGTTTTCTTATTTCACATATAATTTTTTTCTTAATTATTTACTAAAAGTTTGTTTTTAAAATGTAAAATTAAATTTCCTTTTTAAGTTAATCGGAAATAAGTTTTATCTCTATATTTCTAGATCTTCTTAGATCTTCTTAGATCTTTTTAGTTTAAAAAAGTAATAGAAACATCCAATTCCCACTTGAACAAATTTAAGTAATAACTTTAATCTGCACGAAAGATTACAGTTATTATTGTTTTTCTTTCATATAATTTTTTTCAATGTTACTATGTTTTTAATAGTTCAGAAAGTAAACTGTCAGTAAGGATTGTCTTGCTAAGAAGCATAATAAACTTGGCATATTTTAGTAAGTTTTAATAGGATATTCCACTTCCTAAAATATAAATAGCACATGTGAAATAAAATGAAATGAAATTACTGCATAATATCGATCTATTCCTCGGCTACAAATTCTTATTGTAATTTTTCTAGTAAAATTCTCTCCATGTAAGAGAACTATCTAGATAACATATTGAACAATTTACAAAAAAGTTTCATCCTAATATCTCTAACGGTTCTAGAGTTATTCTATACGTACGCAAACAAAGAAACATACATACAGGATAAACGGAGAACTTCTTTTGTTTAAAATCAGTGAAAAGATAATACAGATGTGTTGTTCTACTACTTAAGATAGTTATTTCGTGAATGGAACACCGAAAAATTAGTATTCTTGTTTTTAGAAAAAATCCTTTAAAATAGGCGCCAAGTATAAAATATTCTAAATATAAGATTTATTTCTCTTGTTTTGAGAAACTCCTCTCTATGTACAGAATTTTCCCTCAAAACAAGAGAAATAAATCTTATATTTAGAATATTTTATACTTAGCGCCTATTTTAGAGGATTTTTCTAAAAACAAGAATATTAATTTTTCAGTGAATCTATTGCTGGATTGTTTTGAACAAAGTCGCACGACGGAGAGAAAAAGTTTAATAACTTATTATGATCTTTCTATGTAAATTAAATTTTTACTCGTTTTACTTGTTTTATTAACAGATTACGATAAATAATCGTAGAGTACGCTACATTTTCAAATATATCTTGTAGGACTTTGAAACAGTGGAAGGATAATAAGGATATTTCAGTTCGCCATTTAAAGCAATTATCTCGTAACAATATTATTAAAAAGTTTAATCAAGCGATAAAAGTTGAGTATAATTTAGGAAATATATAGTATATAGAGAACATAGTATATATAGTATAGTATATCAGGAAATATATACTATATATAGCTAATATAGGTTGGACCGTTGCGAATATAATTACGAGAGCTTTTATTGCCTCATCAAAGAAGCTTTTAATATGCGTAAAAAGAGCATTTAATCCGTGAAATAAAAGTCGCAAACATTTCAACTACAAATATTTATAAGCATCAGTGTTGCGTTTAATATTGTCAAAGCCACTCGGTGGCCGAATTGATATCGCGATATTTCAACCCGGAAAATATGAAGTCCATAACTCCTAGTTGAGGCAATATTTTTGATGATACGGTAATTCACTAAAAAATTAAAAAGCGAGGAGAAAGATAATGCTAATATTAATATTAAAAAGAGCTCAAAGCATTTGTGGACCTTAATAACGTTATGGAGCTTTTTGAAAAAAAAAAATTTTCACAAAATGGGAATTATAAAAAATTAAATATTCTCACTGACAAATTCGAGCTTATAAAATAAATAAATAAATAATGGTCTTGAAATTTGGGGAAAAAGAACCGATAATTATAACTCTAATGAATAAAAAGGAAAGTATTGATACTGATTTCAGATCACTTCTATTAAGGTCAGAATGGTTACCGTTGAAGCGTGATTCTTTCGCAGAATAGAATTGGAAACAAATGAATAGAAATGGACACAATGATGTTATAATATTCACTATAAAATGTTCTACTTTTACTAATTTATAACTTCCTACAAAATCATATTTCTATTAATTTATAGCTTTTCATAACATTATTTACAGCTTCCCAAATTTTACCTAATTTTTACTTCTATCAGTTTTGTATAATCAATTTAAAGCCAAATCGCACTAGCAATAGCCGATTGGATTGCGACTGACAAATATAAAATAGAGCATTCTTCTACTTTAGTCAATCACTACTCTCAATCGCAATCGCTGCAGTGTTCTGATTGATAATAATATATTCAAATTAACAATCATTATTTCATACATAAGTAACGATATGTAATTTCGTTAGAAGAATTTTAAAATCTTAAATTTCAATAATGTTATAATTTTATTTAAATATTATAATAGTCTCTCATAAGAAATATAATATGATTATTTTGATGATAATAATGTATTCTTCCAACATTTAAAAACATCATATTCTCAATCTAATATTTTGTGTTTTTCATTTTAAAAATTATTCTTAAGTAATGGGAATATATTTTTCTTTGTTGAATCATATAAAATGCACTGATGCGGGTAACTTATTTTTGTTTAACTTCATTTGAGGAAGTCAAATAAATATATTTTCAAAACAAGAATTTTTTTTCTTCTGTAGTTGTGTGATTTGACCCATAAAATATAATCATTATGTTTAAAATAGACCGTTTTTCCGCAATTTGCATCTTGCGTCGGCTTTTATTGGCTTTTCCGTTATTTTATTAGTATTTTTAATATTATTATTATTATTTTGTATTACCTTTCAAAGAAGCTTTTAACGTTACTTAAGATATACCAACATTTACATCGGATCTTGTTGGCTCTTTCCTGTTATCTACATATAAGAGCCTTGACAGTTTAATAAAAACAAATATCCAGCTACTGAATAAAATAATTAGTCAGCGATGTGTTAATGTCAAGAGCTTCCACGACAATTGGCTTAACTCTAACAAGAATTCGCGTGCACTTTCTGTTTCAGTACACCGATTGGAATAACATAAATGACGGCTACCAGAATCAAAGAGCGATAGCAGACATCGTGGGCGATTATTTCTTCATTTGCCCGTCCACGTACTTCGCGGACTTATTTGCGGCCCGCGGCATGAAGGTCTACTATTACTTCTTCACGCAGGTGAGCGGTCTCCTTCCGTTTATGACCCCGTCGCGGCTATAAGTCAGTCATAGTCGGGGGTGGTCTCGCGTGTCAAGAGGCGTAGTCGACAGAACTGTCATTATGTTACGTTATTGTATTACCTACCGTGACATTTAACATAATTCAACGGTGATAATTTATGAGGCGAACGGGTAAAGTATTTAGCACTCTAATTTCCTTGTATGATGTCTGCGTTGTTCATGTGCGTGAAGAAAAAAGAAATAGAAGAAAAGGAAGAAATCGTCGATAGCCATCTCGCTTCGCGTTCGTTGTTTTAAGAGAAGTACTGATATGAGGCCGTGCTCGAACGCTGAGTACATTCCAAGTTTCGTTTTTCTTACACGAACATTCCGTATAAAATTAATTAACTTGAGAATCAGAAAAACTTACTCGGCATTTGAATACGTGTCACGAATACGGCTTCTGATTTGGGTAACCAAGAAAAATAGGAGATCCTTATAAATTTTTTTTTTCAAAGAAGTGGATGAAGATTTTAATATAAGGTTTTGAACATGCTATTTTGTCATTATTCTAAATGTAGAAAAATTAATATTTAAAAATTTTGCAAAATTCAAAATGACACAGATGGCAGTCAAAAAATCTAAATTTAAAATGCAGTAATTATTTTTATTATATTCTTTATTACTATATCGAGTCCATTATTTTATGTTTGAAAATTTGAATATTCAGTGAGATCCTAGAAACTTGTATATACTTATTTTGCTGCAAATATATTTAATATCGACGAATTTCAATATTTGTAACCATATTATCACATCTGCCATTTTGAATGTTCCATCGCATCATCCGAGTCGAAATTTTGATGCTACTTTGACGCTTTTAAGGATAGTTTGCGCCTACTAGACGGTTTATAGCCTAAGTAAAACCTATTTTGACGATATTGATACTAATTAACTTCTCTTTTGAACCTTTAACTCTACCTTGTCAAAATTTTGACGCTACTTTGACGCTCTTAAAAATAGTTTGAGCTTACTTGGATAATCTACAACCTAGGTGAAACCTATTTTGGCGATATTAACACGCATTTCCGAATCGAAATTTTAACCCTGTGTTGAACCTTGAATTTTATAAAATACATATGTTCTCTATCTATATACATATATACTTATATATGTAGGAGCTGAAGCTTCAATAGAGGTTCGCAACTGAACCTTTACTTCCTAAGATCCTATTATTATACAACCTACTTTGACGCTACAGAAAGTGAAAGCGGAAATTTCAGACATCATCAAGGCCAAAATAGGAATAAATTATATCATTAAAATTAAACCTACTTTGCTATCTTAGCTCCTAGAAGTGTAGAATTCAAGATTCAACATAGAGTCAAAATTTCGACTCGGACACACTCGTTTGCTAATTTTCTTTAATGTTAATCGAACTTTAATGCAACACCGAATGCTTTTCGATACAGACTCCATTCTAATTTACTTTCAAGAACTCTCACGAAATTATGCGTGAAAACCACCTTTATATACGTTAGAAATAAAACAAACAAGAGAACAGTGGTTAAAACTTACGATAAGTAATTTAATTGATCTTAATTTGATAATACTTATTCAATAAACAAAATGAACATGTTAACGTCGAGGTTAATTAACATCTCAATAATTACCGTGTGGTTGTTTGCAAAATGATAGGAAACTTTTTCCTTCAGTTCGACAAGTTCGACTTGAACATGACGCACGAGTTGTGTCAGGCGCCCGGAGCGTCGCATTAAATCTCGATTACGCGCCGGAACATTCTAATTGCGTATCATGTGCATCGACAAATCCGGGTCTCGATGTCGTTATCACCGCATTATATGCCGGCCTCGCGATGCGCCTCGCAATTGTGCCGCGCGCCGCGCCGCGAAAGAGCTTGCGGCCGCGAATCTCCCAAAGTGAGCGCGCGCGGTAACGGAGTTTACAAGAGCGGGAAATTGCCGCAGAAGTATTATGTAAATTGGATTCTGAGCCGCTTGCATGACGCAATAAGAAGATTTCACGATGGAACTAGCCGAACGAATGGCGGGGCGCAGACGGGGCGAAAAAAGGACACGCCGTCTAAATTGCGGAGGGAATATAACCGCGGGAACTATTATCTCCGTACAATCGACGATGAGTTGTTTGTTAACGTGATTTTCATGGCACTCGTGCTACTCGTGATACTAAGCCGGGTTGAAACGACTTGGCATAAGAGGCAGTTTGGCCCTGCATTTCAGAAGAAATTAAAAGAACCTATCGTGCAATGAATTATTAATTTCATTTTTTATTTAATTTTCAAGTGTGTGTTATGTGTGTTTTAATTTAATTTTTAATTTAATTTAATTACTTATAATTTTTTATTAACAACTTTTCTTATGAAACGATAAAATTACTCTTTTTAATCTTTTCTTTTTTAAAATATTAATAAGTCATTAATAGTCATTGTTTAATATGGTAAACTTTGGCACCAATTTTCTGAAACATAAAACATGATAACAAATAATGCAACTTAAAATTTTAAGAACAGTGAAATGTCTCTTACTGCGTACTGTTAGCAGTTATCATATTATTTTTAATTGAAAAATGTTACAAATTGTTTAATGCGTTTGCTATGTATTGTCCTTCATAACTGCATTGCAATTTATTTGCACAAGATAAACAATGATGAGATTCTTTTTTTTATTATTATATGTATACTAACATTATTAGATGATCTTTCCTCGTCATTCTAATTAAATTAATTTATTACTTTAATTAATTAATTAATTAATTGGTTGTGCAAATATCGATTATGTGTTTTGTACTACATAATCCAAACTTATACATTTCGAGATATAACAGGATTATGCCATTATGTCCTTAAAATGTTAAGTTGTATTATTTCTTATTATATACTATGTTTTAGAAAATTAATATCAAAGATTATCATATTAAACAATGACTATTAATATTTTAATAAGAAATTATAGAAGTGTAATATTTATTATTATAGAAGTATAGTAATTATCGTATAATATAATAAAAAAATAGAGAGTGAATCATTAGAATCATTAGAATAAAGCAGGGTTGAATTATTAGAATTAAACCTACTTTGCTATCTTAGCTCTTACAGCGTAGAATTAACTATTGTTAATAAGAAATTATAAGTAATTAAACATGCAATAATATATTTTATATATTACATGTTTTAATGAGTCACTTCTTGAAACTTTTTAAAATCAATTAGGAAATGAACAAGTTTTGCGAAGTATCTTAGTTGTATTAGTTAGAATAGTAATTTTTGCAAATATATGATATTATATGGAAAAAATATTATAATAAAAATTATAACAAAATTTCTTGATAATCTTGGACTATACAAAGATTCTGACTAAAAGCAAAATTATTGTAACGTAAATAAAACATAAAAATCATTATATTCTAGTAATCAGAAATGTTCATGCATCTTTTCTCGAACTACACGCAAGAGTGAAATTATAAGTGGAACTATAAACCTCATTTATTATAAAATAATATGAAATAACAAACATTTCTCAAGGAATTCTGAGTTACACGCGAACGTCTTGATATCAAGGTTTATAACAAACTTATTTTACAGAAAAAAATATATGAGTTACAATATATTCAGAGAAAAAACATAGTGGTAGCAATACCATAATATATAAATGACGCAAATTTTGTATTAATATATATAGCTTATATAGAATTAATATATATATATATATATATATATATATATATATATATATATATATATATATAGCCTATATATATATATATATAGCCTATATATATAGCCTATATATATAGCCTAATAAATTTGACTTTGGAGATATCGCAATTAAAATTGTATGCTGTTACGAAAACTACGTAACTATCTAAAAAATCTCGTAACTATTCAATTGTAATTGCAATATAACTACAAAAAATAATTTATTTAACTGCATTATATTAATAGTTTATTTAACTGCATATATGCATTAATTCTATACACATGGAGAAAGCACTAGGGATATCACTTGGCCAAATATGGTTACCGTAACAAAATATTGATGTTATTTTTCGCCTGTGCACACAAAAGGGTTGTAAAATCCATAGCACTCTGGAAGTAGTGCACTGCCCTGCTTTGCTGGCTGTATGTTTAGATGTTTTCAACGAAACACTCAGCGTTCATGGCACAACCAAATCTTACGGATTTCTCAACCATAGTATTTTTTCAGTAGACCGCAACAGAGAGACAGGAATATTTTTTTAGTCGAGGCACCTATACAGGGCGAGTCAGTAACTATCGCTTCCTGGAATATTTTCGAAGCAAGAAATAAAGTTAACCTTCAGATGTTTAAAGTTACTTTGAAAAAGCATCTTATGATGGTAATGCTTTTCTTTAAAATAGAGTAACTTTGAAGATTTGAATTTCACTTATGTTTTTGCTTCGAAGATATTCGGGTGATAATATAGTTCTAGTAATAATTTTTTCCGTGTACAAAACTCATAAGGAAGATCGGAGCTAGATGCCCTATATTTTAGAATTTCTGATTGTATAAACATAATAAAAGCAACCTTCTTCTATGTAATAATGTCCACAACCACAACTCTGTTAATTGTAGGGTAAACTTGGGTACTATAGCCATAACAGAAAGATGGCCATAAGTAGTAATTTCTTTAATAATTGCAAAACATTGCGTTTGTGTAATCAGTCACAAAGATAATCGATATTTATCGTAGTGTGTGTGCATACATTTTTTGAAATAGCAAGATTATGAATATTATATTATATCTTTATTTTCGGCTACCTGTAAAATTTCTTATGTGTCCACTAAAACTTGCTGTAACGTCGAATAAATTACATTTAAGCTATCGCAATCAACGTTAAATACATAAAATAGGTATGTAAATTGTAATATAACATGCATTTTTATTTTCGTTTTCACTATTTGTTTATAAGTACTATTATAACCGTCTTTTACTCACATTTTGGATAAGATGACCCACTAT